CTGGCTTTAACGTTAAACATATTTCATAGTCACAGCCGTGCCAAAGAGCCAGGTTTCATGTGTAAATTCTTCCTTGGTTGTCCTCCAAAAACTACTCATAAGGAGGAAATCTCTATCTAAACGCTCACACCAGCCAGCAAGGTATCATATGCCTCCTTTCATCCCTAAGGGTATAATAGTTTAGCATTGCTAAATTCCAGAAAAATAAGAATTTCTCACCTAAAACTGAAGAGATCTCAAAATACTGGAGCAGAACCCATAATGGCTGTGCAAAGGTCCATTGGATCAGGGATTTTGCTTGTTTTACAAACAATTGCTCCAAACAAGCTTTGCTGTTTCATTAACAGAGTTGGGAAAACAGCCTGCTAGGGAGTGCACCACACACGCGCTAACACGCATGTTGCAAGAAGCCCATGAGCACACATCTGTGCTCTGCTCTATTGCAACACCCAGAATCATTTGGTCTAAGAGTGTGGCTTCTAAGATGGAGATCTGCAAAAATCTCGATGAACAGCAAACACTGCTATTAAGCCACGTGCTATGATGCACAGCTGCCTCCTAAATTCCCCATCAGCACTAGAGACCTCAAAGGATTGTGGTAAGCGTAGCACACCAACCATATGCACGTTTCACTATTTAAGCAGAGGCCTGCAAAAGCAAAGCCATCTACAGAAACACGGGCGGGCACAACAAAAACCACTGCTTAGCTGTGCGGCCTTGGACAAGTAACTTACCCTCTCTGAACTCTGTTATCCCACTTTTACAGATGAGATTTATAGGGCCTCCTTCAAGGCTGAGGATTAAACATGAGGATGCAGTCCGTAAATGCTCAACACAAAGTAAGCGAGCAGAGCTTGTTAGTTATCATATCCAGCCTCTTTTAACTAGAACTCTGCCAAATTGAGGAAACAAAAACCCCAAGCCATGATTCCTACCTTATCTTTGTCCACTTAATTACCTTTATTTTCCAAACAACTGTGTGACCAGGTTTGAACAGAGGTAACGTAATTTATTTTTAAGATGCAATGAGACAATGCCGGCCCCTTTCTCCTCTATATGACCACTTAGGTAAGTCAAAGCACTTCATAAATTACTGGTTTACTCCTCCAGGCCCCGAGGACAGTGCCCAGGGGCCAGCTTACTGAAGGGGCAGCCTGACTGTGATGGGTGGGGTTTGAAAACAAAAGAAAAGCGCTTTTGATGAAGGGAATAGGTGAGACTTACTCCTCTACGGAGATCAACAAATACACTGCAGCAAACTGCATATAAAATTCAGCTCAAGAAAACCTCTGGGTTGCTAATGCAGGTTTGCAAATATAGCAACCATAATGAAATGGCTGCTTTTTAATGATTTCCTATACTGGTGTTTCTATACGGAAGCTTTTTTCCCTATTGAAGCAATTTAATTGGAAAATGGCAATGGAGTACAACGAGGCAGACGTCCAGTTCCGATGCACACACACAGGGACTGCTCTCTGCTGCAGCCTTGATGAGCCCCTCCTCCATGCTGTCCCCGTGCCTGCCCTCCTTGGGGACCTTGCAGGTGCAGGCCCTGTGCCACAGCATTCTGTGGGGAGAATAGTTGGGGAGGATGAGGTCCGAGGTGGGGGATGTCCAGGTTCTGCGGGGCCCTGCAGGCCATGGTAAGGTGAGATGTCACTCTCGGTGTGAGGGATCTGAGTGTGGAGTACAGCAATCTGATGGCAGATCCCCAGAGTCTCACATCCCCAGTCCCTAGCACAGCCCCCAAGGAGTTTGCTGACTAAATGAATAAAGGCCTCCTATTGTGGGCAGAGAACAGGGACAGGGATTGGGCAGACGGGGCCCTTTCCCTCCAGGAGCTCAGTCTTGTCGGGAATGATGCTACTTCTGGTTATAATGAATATATATTTTTAATGAGGGAAAGGATGGAAAGAAATGATTTGAGATTAATGATTCGGGAAAATGAAGCCAGCTCATAGCACAGACAGGCAGACACCGGCTCCTGGGTGGGGAGCCGGAGCCACAGATGCTCTCTCGTGTCAGAAGCCCCAAGAAGTCCCACAGTAAAGACGCCCAGCCCATTTAAGTGGGTTCATCCCTCCACTTCCCAGCCTTATTTGATTAAGAAACTTTGTTGGAGTGGAGTTCACTTATGTGATTTCATAAAATACACTTTCAGAGAAACACATGGAGGGATCAGTGTCGGAATGTCTCTCTGCTGTGATCGGGAACTTCTTGGCTGCTTGCACTTGTCTGACTGCCTAAGGCTGGAAGACAGAGTCCAGAAGCTTGGGGGCCACTAGGGTAGAGACGAGATGCTGGTGTAACTTAGCACGTAGGACTTGGGCCCACGGCGGCCTGGCCGCAGGGGGATGAGTGTGCTGTAACTTAAGGCCTGGGGTTTGGGTTCAGGTTAGTTTGAAGGAGACAGTTTCAGGCTGAAGCCAAGGCCCCTGGGGAGGCATCTCCACTCCTCAACCCAGTTCTGTCTGGCTCAAGTTGGTATCTGTATACAGCTCTTAGTGACTTTGATGTAGCTAAATCCACCTTATTTGGCCTTAGCAGCAGTCCATCCTGCTGACCCCTTCTTCCTTATTAGAGCCTTTTCTGCCCCATTGGCTTCCTGGACACCACTCTCCTCATGTCTTTCCTATAGCTTTGGCTGACTGACAGGTTGATGGATTGGTTGATTGCTTCACTTGTTCATTCCAACAAGTCTCTCTGAACAGACACTATGTGCCAGGCCCCGTGGTGGGCTCTGGAGATACACTAGCAGATAAACATGTTTCTGCACAGCTGAGTTTAGTGGGAGAGTCAGTCAAGCAAAGAAATACAAATACATCATTTAAAATTTCAGTGTGATATAAGAAGAAACAAATGGGGCAGTGACAGAGTCAGCACAGGGACGTGCACAGACTGGTGCTCACGAGATGCTTTCGGAAGAGGTAGATTTAAAAGGAGACAGAAATGATGAGAGGCACGTCCCTGCCTGGAGCTCCTGCTGAGCCTCCTCATCAGCTGGTGGCCCCCAAGGCTTAGACTCCAGCTCTCTGCGCTTCTCACTCTAGGCATCGAATTCCGTGGCTTCGGTAACTATCCGCAAACAACTGATGTCTCCCAACCACTTTTCTTCAGCCCAGACCTCTCCTCTTGGCTTCTTTTGTATACATACTACCCTCCCAAGCATCTCCACCCAGATATCTCCAGCTGCCTCAGACTCATGCCCAAACAAAACACATGACCTCCACCCCACTCCACCCTCTCCCCTAGCAAAACAAAACAAAATTCAAAGCAATACCACCCAGTCCTTTTTCCTATGCTCCCATATTGGTGATTGGCCCCACCGTCCACCCATTGTGCAAACCAGACACTTATGGGACACCCACACATACACACCTTCTCCTTCACCCTCTGTTTCCAATCCTTTAGCAGATCTTGCCAATTTTACACCTTTTCTACACCCATCTGCTTTTTGACAGCTCAACTGCCACCACCCTAATCCTAGCAACCATTTTGCCGACCTAGACTTTTTCAGTGGTTTCCTAGCTGGCCTCCTCATTCACTCCTGACTTACTGATTCTTTCTCTTCACTACAGAGTGACTGATTTAAAATGCAAATCTGATCATCTCATCCCCTCCCCCCAACTATTAAAATACTTCTGTGGTTTCTTGTGGGTCTTTGAATGAAGGTCAAACTCTCTAACATGGTCTACAAGATCTTACATGATCTGGCTCCTGCCTACCTCTCCAGCCTCCATCTCACACTTCGGTGCCCTCTATACACGATGATCTTTTTTCACCTCCTTGAATGCATCCACCCGCCCCCTTCTCTGAATGCCATCTCTTCCTTTACCTACTTAATTCCTACTTATCCTTCAGATCGCAGCTCAAATGTGAGGAAGCTATTCTGGAAGTGGTAAACTAAATCAAATTCCTTTAATATGCTCTCATGGTATTATGTTCCTTAATGTTACAGCACTTACATAGAGTTATAATTAAACATAAATGTGTAATTATTGATTAAAGTCTCTCTCCCTAATGAAATTTTAAGTGCTATGAAAATTGCACTATATTTACTCTTCCTTCTCCTGGTTCTTCTTCCCACCTCTCCCTTACATGTGGACATTTCCTAGGATATGGGCTCCTCCCTCTTCTGACTCCACTTCCTTTTGACCAGAGGGATCTCCTTACTTCATAACTTCAAAGCCTTTATCCTCAACCCCAATCTCTCCAAAAATCCAATTAGGCATCTCCAAGTAGACCAATGGTTTTGCAACATTTTGACTGCAACCCACAGCTGGAACATTTCATTTGGCAACTTATTACATACACACATGCAGCAAATAAATTTCATGAAACAATACTGTCATTCTTTTTTTTTCCTATTTGATTACATTGAAAAAATATTTTTCATGTAATTTCCAAAGCCACTAAGGGGTCATGACCTGCACTTTAAAATACACCATACCAACATACCGTATCATCTATTTCCACATGCACATTTCTCTACAACCTCAAACATAAAATATCTATTTCCCAACTCATTTCTCAACCGAACTTCCTTACTAAGGAATATGATCATTCTCTTAGTCACTCAGGATCAACATCTTAAGAGTCATTTTGGATTCTTCCTTACACAATAGTTGCTAAAACTTATTGGTTCTTCCACTGAAATGTGTCACCACCCATTCTATTCTTTCCATTCCCACCATCACAGTTCAGATTTTACTGTAACGAATACTGCAATAGGCTTTCTAACTGGTTCCCTGTTTCCAGAATTTTCAACTGAAGGTACCAAATGCTTGAATCGCAAACACCAGAGCAGAAAGCTAATTCAGCTCCTCAGTTCCATTTTGATCAACAGAGTACTATGTGAGAGACTGAAAAGAATGTGTCTTCATCTGTTCACTAAACTCCTTGACTAATTAAACTTTAATCCAGGTTGCCTCATGTTTCTAAAATTCCCATTACAATTCAGAAACAAACCCCGGCTTCGTGGTAACGGCAAGCAGACTCACCCATGTCAGCAGTGACCATGGTGGACTGGTTTTCAGGGATGGAGACAGAGGTCTGGTCTTGGTCCATGCTTCGAGAGTCCTCGTTGACCTCCTGTTGACTCTGGCTGAGTTCTGATCGCAGTTCTGAGTACTCATCTTCCTCCCTGAGCAAAAAGGAGAGTCAGCCACCACAGACAGAGAAGAAAATCCCTAGAGAATACGTCTTTTATTGGAAAAGAAAAAGACATTCAGAGAGAAAACAGACAGACCTCCCCCACCCCCACCCCACAGGCCACAGAGACCAAGATTTCTTTCAGGCCAAATAGATGGTCACATCTATGGTCAGTGTGTGAAACTGAAAGGTTGCTTCTGTGTCCACATACATACCCATATAACAAACAAGATTCACTTATTAGCCCACTAGAAACTTTTCCCCTTCAAAGATTTCCTGAAGAAATTAGATTTCTTCACTCCTTCAAATTCCAAGGTGAAAAAGAACTAAGACTACTAGCACTGAGGTTACAGTGAGCAAAGTAATCAAGAGTCTGGTGAACAGGAACGGCACATCCCACCACCTGAAGAGTCCCATTGGTGGGCCTTCTTCGTGGAAGAGGACATAAGGAAGTGTTGGGGCTGGAGCTACTGGAAAGCCAGCACCTCATCTGTGCAGATCAAAATGGATGCTTTGAAAGGTATATGCATCAGCATGTCTAAAAAATGCCACATTTACTTTCCCCAGAGAAAGTAGGTGGATTGAGGGAATACAAAAAGAGGATGAAATGAGGAGAAAACAGAAACTGTGAGTGAGAGAATACCATTCAATGGTCTATTTCCGTCAATGTGCATTTGCCAACAGGAAGACGACGTTTAAATGCAGCTGCATTTCATCTGCACAAGCACATCCACCCCTTCTCAGCCCTTATGGGTCCCTCAACATTTGGTCTCTGAATTAGCTACGAGCAAGCTAAGAAAACTTAAAATAGTAGTATGTATTTTAAAGCACACACATTCCCCTTTCCCCACACCGCCACCATCACTATGCACACGCTGGACACAGGCATGGAGACAGCAAAATTAACCCTCTTTGAAGTATTTATTTTGCAAGTGAGCCAGAAGAGAAAATTGTCAGAAGAGAAAATTGTCAGGGGATATAACTATGAGGTTGGAAAGCCCATAGGTGTCTGCTCAGCCTCAAAGGGAGGACATTTGTCCTCCCTTTGCTGGGAAGAGAAGAAATCCTCTCAGTCTGGCAGTCACTTTACATTGTCGGCAATCAGGGGGAAGAAAGTCTACAGTCTTGGGTTTTGGGCAGACCAAGATGGTGAGTGGTGATCAATGGAACTCGGGAAACAGGCAACTGCCATTTTAAACTGGGGAGACATATCTATAAACTGGAGAAATGTGACAAACCCTTCAGAATTCTTGCAAGAAATCAACATCCTCCCAGGGAAGGGATTCAGCTGAGCCCCTGAAGCCACCCAGAAATCTGGGAAGACTTTAAACAGATATAAAGCCCCCAGACATGCAAAATATGAATTAGAATGGGAGTGGTGAAGACAAAAAATATAGGTTAATGTTCTAGGAATAAGTTAATTATTAGATATCTGCAAAGCCAACAATAATTAGGTTTAGGAAAGAAAACAATTAAAAAGCACTCTTAAGAATTGCCCTTTTGGTCTAGAGGGTAATTGTGCCCTCATACGTTAGCTCTCCTTTCAATCAGCATTTAAAATTCTGATTTTAGTTAATGGGAGATTTTGTGTGTGATGAATAAATTACCTTTGTTGCATGGCCAGTGTAATCAGCTTCAGCTTAGCTGAGACTGTTGTACAGCCTAGAAAGCCAGATAAATGCTGCTGCTGTATCTCCGGTATAAATGGCATTTGCAAAATCTTTAATGGCCACCTTAAACCCTCCTGGCTCAGCAGGTTCCAAAACATATAGTGCCTGCCAAATCTCTTGCTTTGTAATGAATTACTTCTAAGGATTATTAGGATGAACTTTATAAAGGAGTGCATAGGGAAGGGGTGGGAGAGGGAAGCTGTTGATTGCAGGAAACATTCCTTACTGAGGTCAGAGCACAGTCTGAAGGAGAATTATACCACACTAGAAACGTCATCTTAGGCAGAAGGCTTTCAGTATCATGAAATGCAAACTAAGGATCTCCATTCAATGTATTTGAGCACCAAAACAAGGATAGAAAAGCAAAGACTAGATAGGTGCTGTCTTCCAGGAGATAAATATGTTCACACTAATTCTAATCTAAGAAGGATGCTGTGGGTAGACACAAGAGGAACATCTGGGGCTGCAGGTGGGTAGTGACCAGGGGAGACTTCCTGGATAGAGCGGCACTCAAGATGAGTCTCAAGCCAGTAGAATTTAGATAGGTCATGAGGGTGGAAAGGCACATGCAAAGGCTCATAGGAGCCTGTGAACGTGAACATGTGGAGTCTGGAGAAGAATAAGTGGCTTGGTATATAGGTGAAACCAAAATGGGGTGCAGGATGGAAACATGAGTCTGGAGAGGCACTCAGTCCACTTGTTCAGTGGGTGATTTTGATCAAAAGGAGAATTTACTGTATTGAAGGAGGCAAATAATTAGGGTTAGATGGTAGAAATAGAGAAAAAATGTGTGAAGTCTAGGAATTCAGGGGAAGAAATAAATATTGACGAGATCTTGTATACAAACAGATAAAAGAGGCAGGAGGAAGTGCGGAAGGTCTGTATTCTTGACCCTACGGGGAGGGGCTGAGCTGAGCACACACGATCCCTGGTTAAGGTTCCTCATAGTACTCGTAATGAGTATTATAGTAAAAAAACGACACATACAAACAAACTAAATGGTAATTAGAGGTGGAAAACAACCTTGTGAGACGATCAGGCAGAGTTTTGTGTCACAAAGAACGAGGTATAGAAAGGTTAAATGGAGCGTAAATACTAGAAAATTTGTTTCTAATATTTCTCCCACTGACTTTGGTAAAAAATCATGGCGTTGTATATCCTTATCATCTCCAGAACATCATTATCAACATCTTTCCTGAAGGGAGGTTGGAATCCAGGACTGGGAAATGACAAAAGCCAATTCTCTCAGGGCCCTTTGTAAACTGACAGTCACTTTGGGATGGTAGCATATGTAGAAGACTGATGCTTGGGGGTTTTCTCTCTCTACTGTATAATTCAGGAGCATTGGTCCATCAAAAGCAATGGAAAAAGAAGTCAAAAACACTCTACCCGGCCCATGGCAGTTTTACAAAGGCAAGAATCTGAGGTGTGTTTTCAAGGCAGCAGTGAGTCACCAAGCTGGTAAAGGTGTCTGACTAACGACCCAGCATCAGCATCTCAAAGTGACTTTACTGTTTGCTTCCTTCTGCTGTGTATTAGTAATTCTTGGCAAGTGAGAACTTGTTTCTTTGGGGGGAAAAATGCCTCCTCAAAAAACACGAACTGCTAATGCTGGCAATGAAAAGGAAGAAAATGTGAAAAGGTCCAAAAAGTGATCATTTTAAGCCGAAAAAAACAGAAGCATTGATAAACTGATAAATGTTGATAATTATATGCTATTGTGGTAGTTTCATAATTATGGGATTGCAAAGGATCATCTCACAGGATTCTAAATGTACATTATTTCATTCACTCAGAAGCATTTGTGAAGTGCTTCCAAGTTGTTCTGTTTCGAGTTGCAATGATTAATGCTTGCTACTAGCTTAAACAACAAAACAAAACAGAAACGCTCCTAGGGAGGCAGGCATTCGATTATACACACACCTATGCAACCAGCAGTGGCAGAAAAGTCACAGACTGGACGGGATCTTAGAGACCATCTAAGCAGGATCAATAGTACATTCATTCATTCATTGATTTGTGTGAGGAAGATCGGCCCTGAGCTAACATCTGTGACCATCTTCCTCTATTTTGTATATGGGATGCTGCCACAGCATGGCTTGATGAGCAGTGCATAGGTCCACGCCCGGGATGCGAACCTGTGAACCCTGGGCCGCTGAAGCGGAGCATGTGAACTTAACCACTATGCCACTGGGTCAGTCCCTGTTGCTGTTTATTTTTAAAGATTTCTTCTCATTACTGGGTAGGGGTGAAATGATCTAATCAGAAAAGGGAAAAGTCAATGAAAGTATAATCCTTATCACGCTTTCCAGACCTTAAGCTGAAGTACTAAGGAATTGGCAGCATTTGATAAAAATATTACTTCCTTTGCAATCCTCATATCTGTTTTATTTTGGGGCGCACATTCATGCCTTGTCACTGGATTGGAGTGATTTGTGAACAAGCCCAGATGGACATCAGCCTACCTTGGCAACTGTCAGTCAACTATGTGTAGCTAACCCAGTCTACCTGACTTGGTGGTTTTTTTGTTGAACCACCTTCTATCTGTCTTACAATTAAAGGCTGACTTGCCCTGAAATGGCCATCACTCTTTTAAACAACAAAGATTTTCTAGATCAAGGAGGAAATGTGTTCCTTTCAGTTCTCTTAGAAAATCTGTAGCAGGAAATGAGTGATTACGAGTAAAGTCCTGATTCTTCCTTCAGTTTTACCTCTTCTTATTTTTCATACAGCACAGAGGAAAATCAGACTCATCTATGAATCTTTTGGTGAATAACTAGATTTTGAAATGCTCTCCTATCTATATAATAATCCATCCTTGTCATCAATGAGTACCAGTTTTAACAAGATCTGATATAGGATTCATATTCAAGGACTTCTAAATAGTGAACAAGGGTTTAATATACACCACATAGGAAGACAGGGAGAAGAAAGCTACCTTATCCTTCTGAGTTTTATTTTTATTTCATCATATTTTACTTTTGAGGCCAGAAATTAATCAAAACTACTTGTTTTGCTGGGAGATAAAGAGGTTTTGGTTACACTGTGTTTGAGATGCAGCAACATGAAGATGGACAGACAGATGTACCACACAGGTCAAAGTGTGGGCCGAAAGACCAGGAGAAAGGTCAGGCTCACTGTGCAGGCATGAGATCTTAGAGATCAGATTATGTTAAAGAAGATGGAGACTTGGGATATTATCTTAGTCGCCAAATGAGGAGCATTTGCAGACAAGAAAGCAGAAGGGTTAAGTGCCAATGTGGAGGTGACACAGATAGGACGAGTCAGTGTTTTAGGGCTACAGTCATTCAAGGTGAAAGAT